TACAAACTCTTGATTTCCAGTTCAACCAATTACTTTTGCCTTCTAGGTGTTTGATTTGCACTTTTGTTAGATCCATTTCTTTCTTGTCTTTCAATTTGACCTTTTTAATTAGAAGCAAAATATCGACTTTAAGAGAATGAGGAAGCACGTGTTTTCTCTTCACTTCAGTCTTCAAAAAAAAATCTTCCGATATTTCTTTATTCTAAATGTTTTTGCCAAATCATTTAATTGTTAAAAACAACGAAAGGTCCCATAACTTGTTAAATATCTTGTAACGTAGATCGTTTAATTAATTGATATTAGTATAATATTAAAAGACATTAAAAGAAGAAATGAAACTTAGAAACGTTTTTGACTCGTTTATTATCAACCGGAACAACAAAATGTAAATTTACATACAAAGCAAAAGAACTTTTAGCCAAAAGAAAATAACTTTATATCATAATGTTTTAAAAATAAAACATAAAACTTAACATCAACAACTTCAATTATTTCGGAGGTCTGATTACCTCAGGTTGCAAAGGTGATATGGATATCAAACGAAGAATAGCTATAGCAAAAGATTAATATTCAGGAAAAACATCTTTGCCAACAGTAAAATCAGAATATCAACAAAATTAAACCTGTTAGAATGTTACATTTTTTTGTGCTTACGTACGGCTCTGAGTCCTGGACAATTTTTAAAGAAATGGAAAAAAATTAACGCTGCTGAGATGTGGTTTTTTTGAAAAGAATTATAAAAAATTATTATAAAGAAGAAATTACTACAGATAATTCGACGGGGCAGTTAAAGTTTTTCCGCCCATCATGCGGAAGGAGGGAATGGAAAATCTAACAACTACTAGAAAGCGAGAAGAGATAGCGGTCAACAACAAATAACATTCGTGAAGTCCTTGTGTTACTTGTGGAATATCATCATATTTCAACTGCTACAAAGTGTTAAAAATCGGATTTTGTGGAGGTCGATGATCACCAATGTTCTAAAAAGATAAGACACAAGAAGAAGAAAAAGATTTTATTCTCTATATATGTAATGTATTAGTATTTATTATATATAACATAATATAGCATGGTTTATAGTGATTCAATAGACCAGTGTCTGTGTGAGAACCATAGCCAATTAATTGTCTTAATATCCGAGTCGTCCGAGCTTGACCTCAAAACTGTAGATTCCACGGAAACCATTTTGTCATTCCTCATTTCAGGTGTTTACTACCCTGCGGCTAAAAAATCTTTGTTTGATTTGACCGTCGTAGTTCTTTTCTAGCCTCAAATGGAAAATCTGGTAACAGTGTGTATGTCAGTATCATATTTCCTCTGCATCTCCTTTTTTAGAGTAGTCAGTTCACATTCTCTCAATCTATATTTGCATTAAAGTTTTTTAAGGCCTTTGATCATCTTTGATGCTTTTCGCGGTACATCACTAGATATATTTCTATTATTAGAGGCTGTCTGAAAATATTCACATCTGTTAACACAAAATGAACAGCATTAGTAATTAAGTAATCCTGGGACAACTTATACGTTAATAAATATTTTTGAACCTCCAAGCAATTGTTAGCAATTTTTATAATTGAATTAACATTGCTCATGACACCTACGAAACATGGAGTGCTAAGACTTTACCCGAAACATGTTTGTTTTCAAAAAAGATGGCAAAATTATCAACGATTATAAAATTATTACGGCCCTCTTGTCACATGGAATATGTATCGATAATTAAGAATTTCCAATATATGATATAATCTATATATATCATGTGCTTAATTGTTTGGTTATAACTAAACAATTAAATGTTGCTATGTAAAAATAACAAATTATTAACACTGCAATATTCGACCTGCAATGCTGAAGACACGTTCACTAGCAGATGAAGTTGCTGGCATGCATAAAATTTGACAAGCTACTTCATAAAGTAAAAGATATACAAGTTTTTTTTCTTTACAAAATGTGACTGGGTCAATATCTTTTTCAACTTTTATAGTTGAGATATTCTGATAATTCATCTGGATCATGCAACTCTGTGAAATCAACAATACTAATTTTTTGGTAAAGGTTCAAAGTTGTTAGATTTCCTAACCTTTTCCCTATTCGACCTTCCAAGTTTTGTAGTGTTTCAATGGCTTGTTTTTTTTGTTGGGTGGTATGAAGAATAATCTTTTCATGACTGGATTCAAAAGTGTTGGAACGTCTTGAAGAGCATTGAGTCTTACTTTTGTTTGGAGTAGTTGTATAGCATGTGTTTTCAAACACTAAATAGGCTCATCATCATCATTGCAATCGTTATATATCAATCAATCAATCAATCAATCAATCAATCAATCAATCAATCAACCAATCAATCAATCAATCAATCAATCAATCAATCAATCAATCAATCAATCAATCAATCAATCAATCAATCAATCAATCAATCAATCAATCAATCAATCAATCAATCAATCAATCAATCAATCAATCAATCAATCAATCAATCAATCAATCAATCAATCAATCAATCAATCAATCAATCAATCAATCAATCAATCAATCAATCAATCAATCAATCAATCAATCAATCAATCAATCAATCAATCAATCAATCAATCAATCAATCAATCAATCAATCAATCAATCAATCAATCAATCAATCAATCAATCAACCAACCAACAAATCAATCAATCAATCAACCCACCAACCAACCAATCAATCAACCAATCAATCAATTTTTTTGTAAAGCGCTATTTCCGCAATGTTCAACAGCGCTCTGATAATTACTTAGGAAATAATTTAGATTGATATTTGTGTGCAAATTTAAAAAATTATTCTTAATTTTATAGGTAGCCAGTGCAAGAGAACATGATCTGGAGATGCATGATAAAAGAAAGGGGCACTTGCAAATAGACGAGCAGCAGAGTTAAAAACTTTACTTAAAGGATAGAGTATAGAACCAGGAAGACCATAGTAGAGCGAGTTACAATAATCAATCCTAAATAAGACTAACGAAGTAACAAGAAGGAGAAGAGTAGGATCATCAACAAAAGCAAAAGTTTTTTTATTCTACGTAGTCTTTTTATTTTTTATTCTAGCAACACTATTAATCTGAGAAGAAAAAGACATACTAAAATCAAAGATATAGCCTAGACTACGAAACTTATGAGAAACATCAAACGTTTGAGAATCAGGAGGAATAGTAATTTATTAAAACAAATTAATTCAAATTTAGAAAGATTAAGTTTAAGACACATAGAGTCATACCAAGCAATAATTGAAAAAAGACATAGAGATAGATCATGAAGAACACTATTGAGATTAGATGGAGGAAAAGAAGTAAAAATATAAGAATTATTAGCATATAGTTGAGTAGTGAAAAAAAAGTTATTAATAATACAAGGTAGGTAAATAGAAGAGGGCCAAGGATAGAACCCCGAGGTACCCCGAAAGAAAGAGTAGAGGAGTTAAAAGTAGTATTATTGAGAACAACAGAAGAAAAACGATTACAGAGATAAGAAGAAAACCAAGATAGACAAAAATCAGTAATATTAAAAGAAAAATTTAGCAGCCTCAAGAGAATAGTATCAAAAGCAGAGGAAAGGTCAAGAGCAAGGCAAAGAGTAGGGAAGGGTGGGGTACGTTGAGACACGGGGTACAGTGAGACAAATCAAATAATTGTTAAGCGGTACATAATTTTTTCTTTAGAGTTAACGTAATCTGTACTTTAGTAGGACCGGTAGTTAACAATATAATTTTCTGCGACGAAAATCGTGAGTTGCGTTTTTTAATTCTGATTTTTGATCTTTTGACAGATTTCTAGACATGTTAATATTTGGTTTGGAATGTAATGGTTCAATTATTTGTAATGATACTGTGATCACTCCTACATGAAAGTTTGACGTTTCAATAAGAAATTAGTTCATATAGAAGCCAAATTTTTATTCCAATTGGTTTTGGCACTACGTCGAATAATTATGTCGACGACTGTGTGAGGTACCTAGAGACAACAATGATGGACCACAGTGAGACGTATGGGGTACCTTGAGACAATAACAAAATTGATGTTAAACATGATTTCTTAATTAATAGAATAATTATTAAATGATTATATTATTATTATAATAATTGATTTGCAGACAAAAATGAGAAATAAGTTAAGAAAAACCAGCAATGGCATGTTTTCTGAAGAAACCATGCGTCATCCTGTAGGCAAAGAATGGATGGTGGTTCTTTACAAAAGATAGCTCATGTTCATGGCTTGTCATTCCAAACATTGGCCCGCTATGTCACAAAAGCATCAACTGCGCATCCTGGAGAAATTGTCAAATTCAAACCAAACTATGCAACTCGAAGAATATTTACAACAGAACAGGAAAAAAGTCTGGAATAATATATCTTGACAAGTTCAAAAATGATGTATGGAATTTCAACAAAAGAATGTAAAAAAAATTGCATACGGGATGGCCAAAATTAATGGAATTAGATTTCCAACAACATGGAAAACTGAAGAATGAAAACACAGTAGGGTGGTCACAAGAAATTTTTTTTCAAAATCTTATCGGGGGAACCCCCTAAATTGTGCCACTTGACTAAAAAATGACATTTGTAAAGTTTTAGCTCAATTGGATAATGCTAACCCGTGCCTCATCGAGGTTGAAATTTCGAAAAAAAATTGGAAAATTTTGAAAAAAAACGCAGTTTTTTGTTTGTAAAATAAAAACGGTTCACTCTAGAAACATGATTTTGGTTTTATTTTGTTCATTGATTAGTTTTCTTCAAATGTTACTATGATCACTATTTAGCTACAAGTTATAGTTTCTGACATATTTGCATTGTTACAGTTACACATTGAAAAAACGTTGAATTTCTCCGTAACACAAAAACACACAATAAATTATTTACTATTACTAACCCGGGTGCTCTATGTTGTTTTTATGTATTAATATTAAAATCTTTTGGTTTTTCTACGATTTCTCATTTTTGGTAAGGAGCAGTTATACATTGGGATGGGAAATTACTTCCAGATATGTTAAATAAAGAAAATGTTGAAAGAGTTGCAGTCTTAATTAGCTGTGGAGAAGAAGAAGAGTTAATTGGAGTTCCCCTATTAGAAAATGGTGCTGGCAGTACAATTGCAAAATCTGTTTATTCAGAACATGGAAAGTGGGGTGCACTTGACAAGATTCAAGCAATGTCCTTTGACACAACTGCCGTGAATACTGGCCGCATTAAAGGTGCTTGCGTTTTATTAGTGCAATTGATGGAGAAAAAATTATTGTATCTTCCATGTCGCCACCACATTTTTGAGGTAGTTTTGAGATCCGTTTTTGATGCTGTGATGGGAAAGACTACAGGCCCTCAATCGGATATTTTCAAAAAATTTAAAACTGAATGGAACAACATTGATAAAAAAATTTAGATCTGAAGTTAAAGATAAGAGTGTAGCCAGCAAATTGATTAATCCGGGTCAAATTTTAAGTTATCTTCTATAACAATTAACAGTTCATCATCCAAGGAGCGATTACAAAGGATTGATTAATCTTTGTCTTATATTTTTAGAACGCTTTCCGTCAGAAAACATCGTGTTTGCGGCTCCTAGTGCTTTTCATCACGCAAGGTGGATGGCAAAAGCGATATATTCGTTGAAAATATACATTTTCAGAGAACAGTTTCAACTGACAATTTTTGAAAAGCAAGGATTCCATGATATTTGCCTATTTATTATAAATATTTATGTGAAAGTGTGGTTGGATGTCCCGAAACCTGTACTTGCTCCAAACCAAGATTTACAATTGTTAAAATCTTTGGTAAATTAAAATAAAGTCAATAAATTTATCTCAGATATATCAGTTTCAAAATTTATCAACCGCATATAGTACCTCAATTCAGAGCAGGCTGTTTTTTTCATTATTCGATGCTTCATTAAGTAATTGTGTAAAAAAGAGAATGGCAACAAAATTAATATCTCAAGCAAATGAGGATAAAGAACTTGATGACTACAGTGATATGAAACCACTAATAAAAATAAATGAAGTATCAGAAATATTGGACAAAAATGCGGACCATTTTATTTCATCACAATCAAGTAATTTTTTAAAAAGATTTAATATTAATGATCAACTTTTGCATACCAATCCAGAATTATGGGTAATAATGAAGAATATTTAATGAGTAAAAAGATTGTGGACGGATTAAAAGTTACAAATGATACAGCAAAAAGGGGTGTTAAATTAATAACAGGTTACAACTCATGTATTACAAAAGAGGAAGATCAAAAATAATATCTTTTGCAAGTAATTGCTGAATGTCGGACAAAATTACCTGGTTGCTCAAAAGCCTCATTATCCGAGCCTCTACCTTTTGAACAATGAGTTGAAGTAGAAATTTATTTGATGTATAACAACTATAAACAATATAATATGAATAAAAAATGTGTTTATTTGTTAATAATAGTGATTTAGATACAACGGTGTTATTTTAAAAACATTTCTTTATAAGTTATTGTGTGTTTTTGTGTTATAGAGAAATTCAACGTTTTTTCAATGTGTAACTGTAACAATGCAAATATGTCAGAAATATGTCATGTATTTGTAGCTAAATAGTGATCATAGTAACATTTGAAGAAAACTAATCAATGAACAAAATAAAACCAAAATCATGTTTCTAGAGTGAACCGTTTTTATTTTACAAACCAAAAACTGCGTTTTTTTTTCAAAATTTTCCAATTTTTTTTCGAAATTTCAACCTCGATGAGGCACGGGTTAGCATTATCCAATTGAGCTAAAACTTTACAAATGTCATTTTTTAGTCAAGTGGCACAATTTAGGGGGTTCCCCCGATAAGATTTCGAAATTTTTTTTATTTACATATAGCGTTGTAACGACCTTAATGCGCAGGTTTAGGGTGGTTTAGGTTGTTCATGAAGCGGCATCCATCTCTTAGTATTAGAAGCCCTGAAACATGTAGTCTCTCACGGACTACATCATTTAACCGACACAACATTGGTCAATTTTATAAAAATTTAGAAAAGTTAGGGTTATCACCACAGTTGACAGATCCTTCTAGGATTTTTAATCTAGATGAAACAGCAACAACATATGTTCAAAAACGTTGTTCAAAAGTAGTTAAAGCAAAAGGGATGAAACAAGTTAACCAAGCCACAAGTGCAGATAAAGGGAGTTTAGTAACCAGTTGTTGTATAATCTGTGTAAATGGAACATTTCTTCCGCCTGCGATGGTCTTTCCTCGAGTTTGATTTCAAAAGTGTATGCTGAAAGGTGATCCGGTTGGGACGCTTGGATTGGCAGGCAAAACTGGTTGGATGACTGCAGAACTTTTTCTGCCAGTGATGAAACATTTCATAAAACACTCTTACAGTTCCTTGGAAAATCCTTCGTTGCTCATCCTTGACAACCATGAAAGTCATCTATCTCTTCCAGTTATCGACTTAGCAAAAGTTGGCTGCTAATTTTGTATAATTAATTTAATTTAAATGGATTCTATATGTTTCTGTTTAACCATTGTTTTAATGCTAAAGTTAAATGTGAAGATAAAAGAAAACATTTTTAATGACTTTAGTAATTATATTTCATGGGAACACGGTGTTGTAGTTCTTACAATACCTCCCACACATCTCATCGGGTACAACCATTGGATGTTTCTGTGTACTTTTCATTTACTAAATTTCACAATGATGCTATAAACTCATGGTTAGTAAAAAATCCTGGTGAACCAACTAGTATTTATGATTCGCCAAAACTGGAATTTATCCTTTTGACTGTAATATCTTTTCAGATGAAGATTTTTTATCGAGTGCTGTTTCAGATCGTCCGGATCCTGCTTTTAGTGGACCTTGTACATCTAATCATTTGTTTGGATCCTGCTCTTGATAAACCTTGTCCTGTTTCTGTTTATCCGGATCCTACTCTTAGTGGGCCTTGTCCATCCGTTTCAGATCATCTGGATCCTACTCATAATAAATTTAGTTCAACGTCTAGCTATACTGGTCAGCTAGCACCTGTTACATTTTTAACGCCGGAGCAGTTTAAAGGATATTCAAAAGCAGGGAATAGAAAAACAAACAACATAGGTAGATAAAAAGAAGAAGTCTCATAGCTACAGACACTCCAGAAAAAGGTCTCCTGGAAGCTAATAATACAAATAAAAGGAAATTAACACCTACATTGAAGGACAAAGCCAAAAAATGTTTATTAAAGGACTTTACTATAACAGATCCTAAAAAAGTTAACAAAAAAAAAATAGAAGAAATGCACTGTGAACCAATGAAGACCAGACTCCTTGTTCAACATGTGGGATCAAGTATTCTGATGATACAAATAGAATGAACTAACAGGTCACATGTTTGAGGTGGTATCATAATGCCTGCCATGGTTTAGAAGAAAAAGCACCAAAGTTTTTTACTTGTATTGACTGTGACAATAATTAAATTGATATTATATATGTTTGTCTCAACCAACCCCATATGGTTTCTAAATGTGGACCACTATGGGACTGGTTGAGACAAAAAAATATGTTTGCAAAACTCTTATATTTAATTTGGTTATTAAGTATTTTATGAAATTTGGAAATAAAACATTAGTTCCTTCCTTGACCTGTATGTGGGATATATTTTAAAATAAAAATAAATTTCTACATTTTGCAGCATTTTGCAATTTTTTGTCTCAACGTACCCCACCCTCCCTTAAGATTACTATTGTCACTAGAGAGAAGTATATCATTATGTATTTTGAGTAATTGGATAAGGAGGTAGGATCTAAGGATGATTTTTTTAAGAATAGGAATAAAAATGGAATTCTCATGAGAAGTAGGAAATTTGGAGGGGGAGAGATAAATTAACTAATTTAAGAATGATTGGATAAAATATTGAAGAATATTCTTTAAGTAAATTAGAAGGGAATAGATCAAGAGAACAAGTTGTAAACGACATAGAATTAATAATTTTAGTAAGTTCTAGAAAATTTATTGGAGTAAATACAGAAAAAAATTCAGTAGTAAGTTTAGTAAAGTTATGGGGAGAAAAATTAGAATTAGATGTTCTTAAATTAAAGAAGTAATTTTATTTACAAAAAAGTCATGAAACTGTTCCAAAGCCGTAAGCGGGTAAAATGAAGCCATATTCCCAAAATATATTTTAAAATCAAGTTTGCTTTACATTAGTTTTATTTTAACCAAAATTAAAAAATAATACAACATAGAAATATATTTTCTGTAACTTTAACGTGTTGAGCATATCGAGATATACAATATCTATTGAGGTATATCCATGGGTATAACTAAGTCACACAGGTAGGTATATAAGTTTTATAATTTCATAAGTTAAGATATAATAATTATATAAGCAAAAAACAACCTAGTTGAACATTAAAGTAGGTATGGGAATTGAGCTATAACATTTTACATAACGTGAACCAAGCGTATTTAAAATTTAGATTGATTTTAATTTGAAAGCGTTGAAAAGTATATTACATTAACAATGTTTTTCATTCTTGTTTTTTTCTTTTTAAATTCACTAAGAATTGTAAAATAAAAATTACTCAAAAAACCGTTTATATTTTATTTAATATTCTTCATATTGTTATAACCCCTTCAACTTGTAGGGTACAGTTATTTCTCTTTTCGTGGATTCTTGACTTCTGAACAGACTTATTTTTGATGAACTTTATCAGAAACAAAAAAGGGCTGGCAATCACTTGTATATATTGCTGTGATCAATCACTTGTTTATTCAATCGTCAAAATCGTTAAAATACAGCACAATAACTAATCGACAGGTAAATCATGGAATACAACCAATCGTCAATAATTAAGCTTCTCTCATCAGACTAATTATATTGAGTTCTCCTAGCTCTGACGTTCTTTACTGCAGTGAGTTTCCAGCTATCAAAATCTTACTTCCGTCATGAGTGTGTAATCTCCTGAAGATCCCACTTCTAACCGCAGTGTTGTAAACTCCTCGACTTCGTAACTACCATCACAGCTTCAATACTCGCTATATCTCCAACACCGTCTTGTAGCATCCAACGATATTCAAGAGTTCGTTTATTCTTAGGTTCAAGGTTTTATTGTCAGTTTATTTTATATTTTTTTAAAATTTATTTTATTATTATTATTATTTATTTTATTCTATTTTATATATTTAAACATTTTTTTCTCCGTTTTTTATTTATTTACTTGTTTAATTTTGTACTACTGCCTTGCATGCTGTAACAATTTCTGCGTCTGTCAGATCCTGATTTTTAAAGAATAATAAAAAAAAGTTATGTACACTATAAGGTCCCTAGGCAACGAACATGAAGCTCTACATAGTTTAACTATTAGTTGCACCGTGGGAGGAGCTTATGTGTGTCTATAAGTTGTGACCATGGATATATATAATATGGATATGGAAGACGCGTTATATATATATATTCCTGAAAAAACCAGTTTGTGGTCTCCAAGTTTACCCTTATTAGAATATAGAAACGTGACACTCTGAAAGGAAAAATGATTTCTGTTTTCTTAACCTCATTTAATAAAGTAAACAATAAATTACAAAATATTATGAGAAAAATTAAAATTTTAATTATTAAACAATATTATAGCGATAAAATTTGATGAAAATTGTCTCTATATTATATATATTTACAATATTCTATAAATTCTAAAATTATTTATAAATTGTAAAAATTATGGTCTATTACCAACATATATATATATATATATATATATATAATATATATATAGGGATGATTACTACAACAGTGGAAACAGTGCCATAACTTCTCTTGCAGATGTTGAAGTACTTGGCACAAGTCCAAAAAGCCGTCCAAAGATGTCCTGGTCGCAAACAATCGAGCAAGACATGAAAGCTCTAAATTTAAATGAAATGGATACAACTGATCGTCTAATTTGGCGCAAAAAGTTGATGGCAAAGAAAACGTCCTACCTCGGGGAACCGGGTCTCTGGACGCAAAACGAAGATTGATTGATTACTACAACACTATCGCATACACTCACTATGCACAAGAGACGGTGCAATAAAAAACCATCTAGAAACTTTCCACAACACCCCAATAACTAGGAACCTTCTAGATAACAACATAAAAATTTTATACAACAATCAACCTAAGAATCGCAGAAGCTATTTTTATCGAATCTGAAAATCGTTACATCAACATCCAACAACGAATCACGACAACACTTCCAACTCGAAGAATGAACAACAAAAAACGTTAATCGGATCAACCAGCAATCTAACAACAATAATAATAATAATGATAACAACAACATCATCAACAACAGCAGCTATAATAATAACGATAATAATAATAATGATAGTTTTAATAATATTAACTATAATAATAATAATAATAATGACAACAATAAAATATGATAGAACAGAAAATTAATAGACAAATTTTGGACCACAATGTTGAAATATTACATTATAGTACCAACCACTATAATTTACGACTAGCCGAATCAATGCTCATAGAACAAAGACATCCGCTAATAAATATTCAACAACGGGCAATTGGAATTCTTCCTATCGATAAATTTAGAAACAGTAGAAACATCGATAATGAAAACACGTAAAAGTGTTATTATATTTAACGAAGTTGAAGATTGTAAAACTAATTAAACGAGCGTTAAATATTCACTTTAAACAAACAAGGAATCAACAAAATAGAGTAGAGTAGGCACAGTATATATATTGCTGTAACCTCCTCGACCTCGTAACTACCAGTCCCGATGTTATAGCTTCAATAATCTCTATATCCCAACACCGTGTTGTAGCTTCCAACGATAGCCGAGAGTTCGTTTATCAGTAGGTTCAAGATTTCCGATAGATGAACACAACTACTTTAAACGCAAACTAAGTTGAACGTTCATTTTAATACCAGCAGCAATAGAAACAACAAATCAGCCCAAATAACTGCAAAAATCACATTTACGACCTCGCATCGAATCTTACTTCTAGTTCAACTGTTCCCGCTCGACTTTATTTCTCGCTCTATTTTTCCCTTTGTTGTCGTCTTCTGTGACCTCTTCTCTTCTCTGCTACCTATGTGCTTGTAAATATGCCACATAAAATTTACAACTCTTTAATTAATTTACAACCTTCTAGTTAATTTACAGGCGGTTTATTCCTCAATGCATGCTTAACAATTTCTAACTAATAGTTTTTATCTCGATCTCATGTTTGTAACAATATATTTGAGCATCTGGGCAAACACAAACATATCAATTTGAACACCGTATGAACAGAACATCCTATATATATATATATATATATATATATATATATATATATATATATATATAAATATATATTACAATAGTCTATAAATTCTACCGAATGTTTGGCGTTGATATGTTTGTAGCTCGTTTCTTGCTTATTCTCACTAAAGTTTTTTGGTTTTATTAAAATTCAAAATAAACTTATTTTCCGAATTCATGCCGCAATTCATGCAGGCCATATTTCGATTTATGTAGGGAAATATTCACTATGTGAAAGTGAACTTAAATGGAAATTAGGTGTCAGATTTCTTTATTGGCTGGTCCATCTTCGTTGGTTTCCTTTTCTTCATTGATAGCATCATATTCTTCTTTGTCATTATTTACAATGCTAGTTTTTATTACGTCTTTGTTTTCATTGTTGATTAAGCGCCAGGTTGGGAGTGAGGTTGTCATTTGTTGTTGTATATTTATTTTTGGTTTATTGATGTCAATTAGGACTGCTTCTGCAATTTTAAGATGCGTGTAGTTGATGTTTTGGTATATTACTTTGATGTTGCTGTCGAGGATTTCACGGCTTATGAATTCGGAAAATAAGTTTATTTTGAATTTTAATAAACTAAACGTTCTCCAAAAAACTTTGGTGAGAAAAATCGAAAGAACGAACAACAAACATATTAACGCCAAACATTCTGTAGAATAATAGAATACTGTAAAAAGAAAGTATGGTCTATTACCAACAAACACACACGCACACACACACATATATATATTTTTATTGTATATATTTCAGAATTCATGCTGCATATATGCATTTATAAATTCTTTCCGGCATAAGTTTAGTTCATTCTTGACACTGCA